TTTTTTGAGCTAGTAATTATATTAAATACATATGAGAATTCACATTTTCAAAATACAGATTTATATACCAAATACAGTAAAGCAGTTTTTCACCCAACACTGAAAACATGCTAGAGTACACCACTGCACTTGTTTTCCAAATTTCCAATGAGAGAGTGGCTCAATAAACACTCCCAGAAACCAGCAATTAACACTAACTCAACAGCATTCACATGTAATGTCCGTGACATTCCCACTTTGTAAAGCATCATCTTTTAAGTCTAGTGGCACATAAGGTACATACTGTACCTAATACAAGTTATAGATGTACCGCATAGTAAAAACCAGTTGAAGGCAGAGCTTCAGGCCTAAGGAAAGCCTCTCCAAGCAACTAAACCTCAATAAGCTGACAGGTTGGCAGATACCAGAATGATTGCTACTATCCAACAGTCAACTAATGCCATGGGATTGGCACCCTCCACTTGAGGCTATCATGCTTGAAGAGCATTAACCGTCATTGATACTGAATGCATGGCCACAACATAATTGATGAAGGTACAGAAGGTTACTGGTAGCAGCCAAGGGTTAGGGGGAGGGGGGGAGAGAGAGAGAGAGAGAGAGAGGAGCTGAAAATCAAAATTTTGGTGCATGTGCAGTGGAAGGTTTTTACTATGCGATTCAACTATTGTAGAATATCAGACACATTGATATCGGTATCTACAATCCAGAATACAGTAAAAGTTTGGAAACGGTAATATTTATTACAACTATGATACAGTATTGTCATGTTTCTATGGCAAATAATAGTTGTTTAGACAGTCCAATCTGAGAATAAAAAAATACTGCAACCCCAATGAAAAAAAGGGAATGACAAATAATTTTCCTTTGAAGAGTTCCATATCTAAAACTGATTTATATACAATAAAAACAAAACATTTTACAAGGTAAGTTAGGGTACATGAGATTAAATTTACATGGTGCTATTTCTAGTTCCTTTTCTCAAAATGGTAGAATACTAAAGAAATAAAAGTATGAAAATATACCATAAGTATGAAAATTGCACACTACTTTTTACTTATGAACTGAAATCATACCAATGTATGCAAATTCCATCCTAATTTTGTCTCTTGCTCCTCTGAGAAACAAAACACCATGTTAACATTCTTATACCTCCACTCCTAATTTAATATACGTAATCCTATGACAGGATTATTTTATATCACAATTTTCTTTCAAAACGTTAATAAAATAAATATTTTTTACAAATTGGAAACGATTTCAATTTAAGTTGCCTGCCAGCCAACTTCAGAATATTTTATTTACAAACATAAACATATAATACATTAGTTAGTAACTTGAATTCTATATACAAACAAAAGCATTTACAATCTACACTATACATAAAGAAAATTTTTTAGCCAGACAATAATATTCACGGAAGCAAGTGCTGTTTCATTTTTCAAAATTGCAATAACAATTTCAATTTAGTTTTCTTTACAATTACCTCCAAGGAACATATCTTTTTTGTCTTGACCATGCCATTTTGTGCCCTGAAAACTGCCACTAGTCTCCTGACTTCCTGTTGATATATCAGCTGCACTGTTTTTGGACTCCCGATCAATACCAGTGTTCTTTGGCTTCTCTTTCATGTTAGGAGATTCTGACTCTTTCTGCCGATTTTTCCAGTCTCCTCTGGCACCTGGGCCACTGGCGCTTACCTTATCCTCTACTCTCTTGGAATATTTTGATTCCAAAGGCTTACTTTTACAAGTATCACTTTTGCTATCCTGGCGGGATTTACTGGCTTCGTTTTTACTGTCTCCTTTTCCCTTCTTCCCTGCACTATCTACATTTCTTAATGCACTGGTTTTTTGTTTAGCTTCAGATTCTAAAGATGAATTCGAGTCTATCAATGGTTTACTGCTATTTGAAGCAGGCACTGCAGGAGACTGTACAGCAGCAAAAATAGATGTTACTGGGCCTGACACAGATACTGTACTTGTTACAGTTGAAATTGTTGCTGATAAAGCTGCTATTGTTGTAGATACAGGGGCAGTAGTAGATACATGAACTGTAGTTGTAGAAACAATGGAGGGTGCAGAGGACACTATATTCTGGAGACACTTTAACGCATCATCTTTGCTGTTGGTGGGAGAGTCTTTCTCTTCTGCAATTCGAGGTAAAGGCTGAGTCGTTCTATCACTTGGGACAACAGTAGAAACATTTGCTGAGTTCCTATGCTCTATTTTCAAGTAATCACTGGCACTCAATGCAGTGCAGTGAAGGACATGCTCCTGAGAGACTAGCCCTTGGGCAAGAGGTAAGAGTGAGGCCTCACTTCCAGACTTCCTCTCTCTCCTTTCCACTCTTTGCTCTGGGTAAGTGAGAACTTTGTCTGCTGGCAAATCCCGTGTTGCCCTGGACAGATGGGGGTGCTCAGGAGGCTTAGAAGTAACAACTTGCTCAACACCACTTGCATATTCAGGAGGAGGTCGTGATGATACAGGAGGCGACTGAGATGTAATAGTCACTCTAGGTGCTGCAGAAACAGTCACTTTTAATGCAGTATTGCAGAGAGGAGATATAGAGGTAGAAATAGGTTTAACTTTACTCTCTGCACTGCGAGGGTGCAATCGGTCAGGAGACAGAGCTCTTCGCAAAAGTGGTGAACCTGGTTCTGCACTCTTAGGGCGATTAAACCCTTTTTTCCCACCAGACCCAGGAGTAGTCAATGAAGTACCAGGGCTATAAGACTGTGTTGTATTGGAACTCCCTGGTTGGTGACCAGCTGGAAAAGCAAGAGGACTTGGGGAGCGAGTGGGAGAAGATGGAAGAGGAGATGGTGATGGAGTTCTGGCAAGTGGAGACAATGGGATATGGCCTACTGATTTACGCCGACTAGGAGAATGAATACTTTTGGCAGCTGAATGAAGTTTGTGCTTCAGACCATGAAGAGTTGAAGGTCGTTGATAATGCACAGTATTGGTAGCAGGTGCCCCTGCAGGGCTGTTGGGAGCAGTGGAACTTGGTGAACTTGACTGAGAAGAATTTCCTGGGGAATGAGAGAGCTCAGGGGAAGAGAATGTGATACGACTGGTGGGAGGAGAACGAAGAGATTTGGGGTGTGTTGGAGAACTCAACATAGAATCTTGGGGAGGCAAGGAACGAGAGAGTGACTGGAAACTCCTGCTTGGTGTAACCATTGATGGTGAAGATACACTCGCCATCTGGAATAATAGAATTAACCTTATAAGTACATTACTTACAAAATTACTAAAATGGTTATACAACACATAATAGAACAATACTTGAAAAGAAGTAAGCTGTGAAGACACTGCAACTCTTCCCTATTGAATGTTGGAAAAGAAAATCGACAAACACAAAGCCGATGAAAATAATTAAACAAATTAATTCAGCACATTAGGAATTATCATTGCACAATCAAAAATGCAAGTAATAGAAAACACTGAAAATAACTTGTTAGCTTATTGCACACTGGATGCTCATGCAAATACTTCAAAATTTCTTCCATAACAAATTTTATTCTCGTAGTATCCTAAGCATACATGACATTTCACTAACTTTAACTAAAATATTTTTCCTATAAATTTTATAAGGCCACACTAATAAAATATATCAATTAATTGCTATAGTGGAAAATTCACAAAAATACCCACATTAAGAATATATATTATAGTGTGCACTCAATTTTGTGCTGAACTTCAGGAATTTCCTTTTCCTTTTGTCTCTTCCTGTCAATCACTAATTACAATAGTGTATACTAAGTTTTCACAATGAAATGTTCATTGAATAAAAATAACGATGGTATATAGTTTGGAATAAAGAACCCTTGATGTCTCTTGGAAACCAATTCCACAGTTGAGATTATAAAAAAGATTATTCTCAATTTTACCAGAATATAAAAATAATTTTTGGATAAGTCAACTGAACAATGTGACTAGAATTGTTTATGTCCTTCCACACACCATTATGTCAGTTTTCTTATACTTCATACCTTATTTTACAAATTGCGTGTATACATATTGAATTTTACTGGTTGATAATAATAAATAAATAAATTCAAAATTATCCACAATAACTCAAGGTTCTCTACTTAAAAAACTTCTTTCAAAGCAAATCCAAAACTTTGAAGGCTTTAAAAAGATATATATTATTTTTAAGTTACAGAATTCTAAGGCAATCAAAAAAATGATCACAGACTTTCTCAGATATGAAGGGATGACTTTGTTTATTAATTTTTAAATGCTCTCCATAACATCAGTTAGCAAAGAAGTTTGGTTTAAAATTTGCAATTAAAAAAGTGTATACATGATCATTTGATGAAAAAATTATATTCTTGACAATTAATTTAAGAGGACATACATTAAATCTATTCTTCCAAAATAAATTAGTGGTTATTGCACCACATACAAATAAAAATAAAATTCATTAAAAAAAAGAAGAAAAAAAAAA